TTTTGAGACAAGGTCTTGGCAAGTCACTTAAATTGCCCAGACTGGGCTCAAACTCATCACCCTCCTGCCTCAACCATCCCCAGAGTGCCAGGATTACAGTCATGCAACACCATGCCCATTTCTTATGGCCTTTTAAATATTCATCACCTCTTTAGTCACAACTGTGAGTGAGAACAATGAAACAAATTTAAGCCAGGCATGGTGGTGCATGCCTGTAATCCCTGTACTGTGAAAGGCTGAGGTAAGAGGACCACAAATTCAAGCCCAGCCTGGGCAAATCAGCAACACTGTCTTAAAAAAAAAAAAGGACTGAGGATGTAGATCAGTGCAAAGGGACACACACACACACACACACACATATATGGCTGGGATGTGGTGAGGCATTCCTGTAATCCCAGCACTCTGGGACACAGGCGGGAGGATTGTTCCAAGTCTGATGATTGGTTTAGGATCTTTGATACTCAACTCTCTTAGTTTGGGAATTGTTAAGTTTTGCCACCTACATGCCACACAAATTCAAGCCACTGACAAAGAAACAATTGTAAAGTATGGACAAATCTTCTCACCATTTCATCAGGAACATTAAATCACCACAGGAATCTGTTGCTCCGATAATCTTTTCTGGTTCCAGCCCTCTCTCAAAGCCCCGAGCAATATCATTGCTTTGCTATAAATAGAAGACAAAGAGAGGTTACAGTTTGGAGAAAAACAATCAGTTTTAGCTCAACAAAGCACAACCTGAATTAATATCACTTGATTCCATTTCTGTCACCAATTCAGAAAAATTCTTGGAACTCAGGAAATACTAACCAGGTGTAATGGCACTGGTGAGAGTATGCTTGTGATCCCAGCACTCTGGAAGGCTGATGAAGGAGGTATGCAAGTTTGAGCCCAGCATGGGCTACCTAGTAAGACCTTGTCTCAAAATAAAAGATAAAAAGGGATGGGGATGTAGCCAGTACAAAAAAAAAAAAAAGGAAGAAAAGTAAGGAAAAGAAGGAAAGAAAAGAAAAGGAAGGGAAAGGAAAAGAAAGGTCAGATAGATAATATTATGTTAGCCAGCAACAGTGAAGCCAAGAGACTTTTTTTATTTTTTGAGACAAGGTCTTGCTGTACAGTGCAGGCTGGCCTTGAACTTGCAGTGATCCTCCTGCCTTAGCCTCCCAAGTGCTGGGATTATGGGTGTGAATCACCATGCCTGGCCCCAAGAGATGTTTTTTGAAAGAAGATACAGTTGACATTTCTGGTATTCCCTTTAAGAGATTAAGAATGATCCCCCTAAGGGCTGGGGATTTAGCTCAGTGGTTCCGCTGCCTGCCTTGCAAGCACAAGGACCTGAGTTCGATCCCCAGTACAAAAAAAAAAAAAAAAAATCCCTGAAAGTCTTTAATATCTCAAGAGATATTCTGGAATCATCTAGGATTTCCTCTAATCTACTCACTCTGAATCACCTTAATATTCTAAGTTGAATACCCCTACATTGTAGCTTCTAAGATGATAAACAAGTCCATAATTACTCTAACAAAACTGTTTTTGGGCCCGGGACTTAGCTCAGTGGTTCCACCGCCTGCTGCTTTGCAAGAGCAAGGTCCAAAGTTCGATCCCCAGTACCAAAAAAACCCCCAACTTTTTTCATTTTATAAACTGCAAATATACTCTCAAACCTGATTTTTTTAGACTTTTAATTTACCTTAACAGTGACCAGTAATTTTAATTCTTTTCATAGTCACTTATATTATGAAAGAAAAGGCAAGAGTGATGTAGGGCCAATACTGAAAGACAGCAAATTTCAAAGATCAAAAATACCAATACCTATACACATACTTGGCTGGAGAAGAAATTCTGGTGCCTGCCTATCCCTTCCCAATGTGGATGAGGTGTTAACATCAGAAGGCAAAACTGAACTGTGATTACAAACTAGCCAGCTGGTAACTCATGAGAAGAGTGTTCAAACTTGCTCTGAATACAATCAATGCAATCTAGACAGGAAACACAAGGTCTGATCCAAGTGCGATGACACTGGTAAGAGCAAAAAAGTAAATTTTTATCCAAACCAGATAATTTTTTAAAAATATTTAATGGAGGATAATACTAGTTTACCCAGTAAGAGCACAGAAAAAAATTTAGGATGACTACTCAAATGAACAAACTCTCTGTTGTCTGATTTTCATAAGATCTCTTTGATCTGATATTTACATTACTTTCCTGAGAGATACAAAAGCATGCAGGGTCCAGGTTACCCCGAAGATACCAGAACCCACAATAGGAAGGAAATTCCATGCACGGATCAAGGGGAGATACTGACTTTTAAAAACATAGCCTCTTTTGGGGCCCCTTAAAGAGAAGAGGTTCCCAGATGTGCACACAGCTGCTCACAGCTGGAATGCTGGCGCATAGACTAAGTAGTAAATCATAGCTGGCAGCTGAAAACAGTTTGCCACATAGGGAGGGAAGGAGGGGAGAATGGAAGAAAAATGTCAAGCTGTTGAAAAGGAGCCGAGGCGAGGAAAATGCTAAAATCATCACACAGGCAGTAATCTTAAATCAGGCATAATGCCGACTAACAAATTTCTTCTGCAGTGGTCTAAAGAAACACAATCCCCTCCTGTACCTTTAAAACCTACAGTCACCTATCTTCCCAGCTGTCTACCTGCCAGCCACCAGTGCTGCTGAGAATGCTATCAGGGGCCCCAGATGAACAATGTGATATAAGGGACACATGGGGGTTTTTTCAAGGTCAGCAGCTTCAGAACCTGGACTAGGAATAAAACTCTCTACACTGACCAGTGGCACTAAGCCAGGTAATTAAGAATGCTCCCTTTTCAAATGACAGAAATGCTAGGTTAGGGATCTACATACTATCTGTCACAAATGCCTAGTTAGAAGTCTTAATGCTGTGTTGGCTTTGCTTTTAGCTACAAAATGAATCAAATGACAAAAGCCCAAATACAAAAGACTAATAAAAAAAACCAAAAGTGTGTGTGGGGAGGATCATATCCTAGCTCCTTAGAAAGCTTTCTCAAATCCTTTATCGTTACAATGTATCATAGTAATACAGACTTCACCAGAACAGGACAGTTTTAAAATAAGGTTGTAAACAAAACCAGAATTAATCAAGGAAAGAAGGAGACACACAAATTGTGGGTCCACTTTCTCTTCTATCCTCCACAGTCATTTCAGTTCATTTTGTTAAGCTACTTTCCCATTTCTTCCTCTATAGAAACCAGGAATCACCTGCGTAAGCCTTTATAAAACCCTGATGCCTGGGTCCAGCCTACAGAAATTCTTACTTAACTGATCAGGGGCACATCTTGGGCACTGGAGATTGTTTAAAGGAACCGCTCAATGATTCTAATGTGCAGTCAGGATTGAGAATTAATGTTTGAGCAAGATGAGTATCCAAGCAGAATGAAGATAAATAGGGGTTCTTGTGGCAGTGATGCTAGAAGATTCAGAAGTAGACTTATGCTTTTATTTTATTAAACTTTAAGTGTTTGATATATCCTTCACCACAAAAGTCTTCCTAACCTTGATAAATGGAGTGAAAGCCAGGGGGTGGAGTGTGTGTGTGTACACTCACAGATGGAAAACAAATAGATGAGAAAGAGAGGCAATAATAGTGACTATTAGGGGCAGGAGATTTAGCTCAGTGGTTCTGCCACCTGCCTCGAAAGTGCAAGGTCCTGAGTTTGATCCCCAGTACCAAAAATAAATAAATAAATAAATAAATAAATAAATAAATAAATAATAGTGCCTATGCTAGTTACTTCAGAGCTAAGATGAAAAGGATTAAAGCAACTGAATCAGACCAAAATTTCACAAATATACTTCCAGACTATACAATAAAAAGATTCAAAACGAAGATGAAAAAATTTAATTTCTTATTTGGAGTATGTGGACATAAGATCAAGAGAGAATATAAATATTACTGAACTGTGCACTTTAAAATGGTTAATTTTAGGGTTGGGGATTTAGCTCAGTGGCAAAGTGCCTGCCTGGCAAGTGTGAGGTCCTGAGTTTTATCCCAGGTACAAAAAAAAAAGGTTAATTTTAGCTGGGTATGGTGGTGTATGCCTATAATGCCAGCACTCACTAGGAAGAGGTAAGAGGATCCCTGTGAGTTCAAAGCCAGCCTGTGCTACATATCAAGACTTTAATTTCAAAAAATAATAAAGTAAAATAAAGGTTAATTTTAGCCAGGCATAGTAGGGCATGTCTGTAATCTTAGCATTCTGGCAGGCTGAGGCAGGAAGATCACAAGTTCAAGCCCACCCTGGACAACTAAATGAGACCTTATCTCAAAAAAATAAAATAAACTATTTTTAATTTAAAAAAATTTAAAAATCGGCCAGGTGTGGTGGTGCATGCCTCTAATCCCAGCATTCAAGAGGCTAAGGCAGGACTGATGCTAGTTCAAGGCCAGCCTAGGGTACACAGTGAATTGAAGACCAGCCTGGGCTGTACAGTGAGACCATCTCAAAAAAAAGAAAAAAAAGAAAAAATCAACTTAGGATGTAGCTCAGTGTGAAGCCCCAGTACCTCAAAAAACAAATAAAAATAATGTCGGGCATGGTGGTGCACACCTGTAATCCCACCACTCAGGAGGCTGAGACAGGAGGATTGCCATGAGTTCAAGGGCAGCCTGGGCTACATAGCGAGACCCTGTCTCAATAAATCAAAAAGAAAAAAGTTAACTTTATATTATGCAAATTTCACCTCAAATAAAAGTTCATACATACGGGGCCCAGGATTTAGCTCAGTGGTTCTGCTGCCTGCCTCGCAAGCGCAAGGACCCGAGTTCGATCCCCAGTACCAAAAAAAAAAGTACATACATACAATGAGCCAAATTAAACCTCTCCTCCTTTATAAAACATACATAAAGGATGGAAAATAAGTGCTATCACTGGAATAAATAAACAAAGTGGTGAACATTTCAAAACTTATTTCCAAGGGGCTGGGGATTTAGCTCAGTGGTTCCATCGCCTGCCTCCCAAGTGCAAGGACCCAAGTTCAATCCCCAGTACCAAAAAAAAAAAAGTCACTCATGACAAAATTATTTCCAGCTGGGCATAGTGGCACATACTTGTAATCCCAGCACTCAGGAGAGTGAAGGAGGAGGATCACTGTAAGTTCAAGGCCAGCTTGGGCTACATATTTCAAGGTTAACCTGAACTACATAGTGAGACCCCATCTCAAAAAACAAACCTAATTTCCATTCTTTAAAAAAATCACCCTGGCAAATGCAAGGTCCTGAGTTCAACTCCCAGTACTATAAAAAAAAAAATCACCAAAGATCATCCTTCAATAAAACAACTATTTACATTTTTGTGGGCCCTCGAGTTACAACCCAACCTGAACCCCCTTACTTATGAACACCTCAGGTTATGACCAGAATTTTAGTTTTAACTTATGAACAAAGTTTTGAGTTATGACCCAGATGCCAGCCAGTTGTGCTTCCAGATGGTCTCAGATACAGATTTAACCCTTAAAGAGTTCTGGAAGGAACATTACATCCTGTCCTGTGTGGAGTTAACTGAGAAATCCTGGGTCAATGTCTCTCTAAGGACACTGAGATCTGCCACTGAGAGACTTTGAAGGCTGTGTAGAGGAATCTGAGCCTTCAACTGACTAATTTGAGGTACAATCAGCCCTGAGAATGAACGGAGTTCATAAATCAAGGGTCCACTCTATTTATGGAGAAGACAGAATGGTTTAATGTTTTACAGATTTAATTTTGCCACTTTAATACGAATTCAATGACCACAAATTACACTTCTCACTCAACCAGAAGGGGGCGCCTCCACGTGCCTCCTTGGAAGCTCCTCTGTCGGGTAACTTACCTCCCCCCTTCTAGGTTCATCCTCACAAGAAAAGTAACTAAACTGTGCCCCTCTACCGGTGGGAGGTGGCAAAAAAAATAGCTTATTGGGAAAAGGGAAGGAAGCTTACCTCTCTCTTTTTTTTCGACTTGATATCATCAGCACTGTTCGAGAAATTGGATTTCCTCTTATTACTTTCTGACTTCTCCCTGGGTTTATTATTTTCACCCTCCTTCATCTTCTTATACTTTTTCATAAACTCAGAAATTAGTTCAGGGCAATCCAAGTTTTTCTCTGGTTCCCAAGTATTATGTTCCCTGAGCAAGAAGAATGGAAAGAAAAACATAAATAATGAGAGGGGGAAAAAAATCCAATGTCTTTTTTTTTTTTGGTACTGGGAATTGAACTCAGGACTTTCCACTTGTCAGGCAGGCATGGTACCACTGAACTACATCCCTGGGCCCTCCAATGTCTTATTGTAAATAGTACATGTAAGCCAAGCATGGTGGTGCACACCTGTAATCCCAGCACTTGGTGGGCTGAGGTAGGAAGATTGCTACAAGTTTGAGCCCAGCCTGGGCTACAGAGTTCAAGGCCAGCCTGAACTGAATAGCGAAACCTGTCTATATTAAAAAAAAGCATATGTAGACAAAATGGAGAGAAATCCTATGTTTAAAGGACATAATAAGGAGCTAGAGAATGTGAGAGCACTTGCCTGGCATGTGTAAGACCCTGGATTTGATCCCTGGCACAGCAATCCAAACAATCAATAAATTAAAGCTATAGCAAATTTGATCTTAAAATTCTACTCAAGAGAAATGAAAAAACGTCTATATAAAGACTTGCACATGGTAATTTACAGGAACATTTCAATGGGCAAAACCAGAAAACAAATTCAAATGTCCATCAACCTGTGAATGAATGAAAAATCGAAATGTGGTATACCCATACAATGGGAATACTATTCAAGCACCAGAAAGAAACAAAATACTGAGCTGGGGATTTAGCTCAGTGGCGCTGCACCTGCCTTGCAAGTGCAGGGTCCTGAGTTCGATCCCTGGTATCACACACACAAAAAAGAGAAACAAAATACTAATAATTCAACTTGAAAGAACCTCAGAAACATTATATTAAGTGAATGAAAGCAGAAGGGAATACATACTTTCTGATTCCATTTATATAAAATGCCTATGCAAGACAAATTTAGACAGAAAGCAGATTAGTGGTCACCTGAAGCTGAAGGAGACCAAGGCTGAAAGTGAGTTGGGATTAACCACAAATAGCCACAGTGGAATGGGTATGTGTATATGTGTGTGTGTGTAAATCTTCTGAATCTCAGGTATGGTAATACTTCAGATAGTATTAGTTATACAACTGTAAATTTACAAAAATCATGGAAATACACAATTTCAATCAGTGAATTTTATAGTATATACTTTAATAAAGCTATTTTAATAACCAACTTTGGCTATTGTGGTGGTGCACGCCTGTAATCCCACCACTCAGGAGGCTGAGGCAGGCAGATTGCCCCAAGTTCAAGCCAGCCTGGGCTACATAGTGATATTGTATCTTAGAAAGAGAGGAAGAGAAAGAGAAAAAGAAGAGAGAGAGAGAGAGAAAGAGAGAGAGAGAGAGAGAGACTTTCCTTTATATCCCTATCTCTACAAAAACAATTATTACCCAGTAACTTTCCCCCAAACCCATAGATCAGAGGAAATTATGGTGCCAAAATCAAGAGGACTTGTCATGGTTGTGTACGCCTGCAATTCAAGTACTGGGAAGCTGACACCTGAGGATCTAGAGTTTGAGGATCGCCTGGACTACATAGTGACTCTGTCTCATAAAACAAAACGATCAAGAGGAGGACAGACACTCACACAAGAAACAGACCTGAGCGTGGGATACAATCTGCTGATTATAAGAAAGCCAGTCCTATGATAGAATTTTTCCTCCCATTTTGGTACTGCTGTGTCAACTTCAAACAATTTTCACTTGATAGGGCCAGGGATTTAGCTCAGTGGTGCCGCCAGCTGCCTCACAATTTTCACTGGATAGATAGCATGATATACTTTATCTTGTTTTGTTATTCTTTTTTTTTTTTTTTTTCCTGGTACCGGGGATTGAACTCCGGTCCTTGAGCTTGCACAGCAGGCAGCAAAACCACTGAGCTAAATCCCCAGCCCTAGCATGATATACTTTAAAAAGAGCCTGGGTTTTGAAGATCAAAGATCCTGTTGTATGACCTGTAAGTTATGCAGTCTTTAGGAAATAGCTTTGCTAATTTCCTCTGGAAACTGAAAATATTTCTAAAGGCTTTTATGAGGATTATGGAGAACATAAGAGGTAGAATATGGGCCGGGGATTTAGCTCAGTGGCACCTTGCCTGCCTCAAAAGCACAAGGTCCTGAGTTCAATCCCCAGTACCGCAAAAAAAAAACCCCAAAAAACTGGATTTTAGGAACCATGGAAAGAACTCACAGTAGCTCCCTCTTACCTATGCTTTCACATTCTGTGGTCAACTGTAGTCCAGAAGTATTAAGTGGAAAACTCCAGAAATAAACAACACATTTTATTTATTTATTTATTTTTGGTACCAGGGATCGAACTTGGGTCCTTGTGGCGGCGAAACCACTGAACTAAATCCCCGGCCCAAACAATACATTTTAAATACCACAATGTTCTGGGGCGGGGATTTAGCTCAATGGTTCTGCTGCCTGCTTCGCAAGTACAAGGTCCCCAGTTCGCCCCCCTGCTCCAAAAAAAAAAAAAAAAAATCGCACACTGTTCTGGGTAACATGATGAGATCTTACACTTACTCTGTTCTGTCTAGGATGTGAATCATCTTTTTGTCCAAAATATCCACACACTATGAACCATTTAGTCTTTTAGTAGTTGTCTGTTAACAGACTGAAGGGCATGGGGTACCACAGTGCTGTGTTCCAGCAACACTTTCGTAGTAGCAGAACACTATACTATTATGCCTACATCATTCACCTTCATCTCATTGGACAGGCACTGCATCATCTCCTATCACCAAAAGAGTGAATACAATATAAAGGATATTTTAAGAGCAAGATCACATTCACGTAACTTTTATTATAGTATATTGTTCTTTTTTGAGCTGGGCATGGTGGTGCAGGCCTGTAATATCCACCCTTGGTGGGACTGGGGCAGGAGGATCACAAGTTCAAACAAAGCCAAGAATACATACCAAAAGTGTCTCAGAACCTATTTTGCTGTTGGTATTTCCCCCCCTTTTCGTTTCTTTTGCAGTACTAGAAATTGAACCCAGGTCCTTCACACTGAACTACATCCCCAGTTCTTTTTAAATTTTTTATCTTGAGACAAGGTCTTGCTAAGTTGCCCAGGTGGAACTCCTGACCTCAACCTCCCAGTGCTGAGATTATAGGCATGAGCCATCATGACTGGCTGGGTTCAGTACTATGTATGGTTTCTGGTGTCCACTGAAGGGCATCCACTGATACTTAGGTACTTTGATGTGGACAATGCTGGGTAGGTATGGGACAGCAAAATTTATTAGTCTTTTATGAAATTCTAGGCATTTATGACACTGGATAAATGATTTAACTGTATCTCAAATTTTATCATTTTTCTTTTCTCTCTATAGTACTGGGCATTGAACCCAGGACCTTCACACTGAGCTACATTCCCAGCCATTTTTATTTTTTCTTTTGTGATGGGGTCTTTGTAAGTCACTTAGTCGGCCAGGCGGGGCTTGAAGTTTCAATCCTTCTGCCTTAGCCTCCCAGTGCGCTGGGATTACTGGCTAGCATATGCCACCATACCCACCCGTCTTTCCCTTTTTTAATCTATAGTAAGGAGCTAGTACCTTAAAGACAGACATAGTTTTAAGGACCCTTTAAACACAGGAGTATTTCTAGTGGTGATTCAATGGACCTGATCCCCTCAAAATCTGTGGTACTATTTTAACTCCTATCTCATAGAATTCTTGGGTCTCTCAAACTCAAAGGTTCTCTTATCTAGTACAAGCTGTGCATGACACCACTCCTCTTAAATAATATAGAGGGCAGTCACGTGTGGTGGCACTTGCCTATAATCCTAGTACTTGGGAGGCTGAGGCAGGAGGATTGCTGTGAGTTCAAGGCCAGCCTAGGCCACAGAGTTCAAGGACACCCTGAACTACATACTGAGACCCTGTCTCAAAAACAAAACAAGACAAAAAATATAGAAGGCATTTTCTGACACTGTATTACCCACATTTAGTACTATGTGTGCTAGAAATGCTAAACACCTACAATGCATAAACTGTCTCATCTTAAATGCTCAGAGTACTCTAGTTGAGAATCCTTAATTCATGCAATAAAATAAGCTTCAGTATGTTCCAAAAGTTCCTGACTTTATCCAAAAGTATTGGCAAAAATGGGGCTGGAGATTTAGCTCAGTGGTTCCAGCACTTGCCTTGCAAGCGCAAGGTCCCAAGTTCGTCCCAAGTTCAAGGTCCCGAGTTGGAGCCCTGGTTCCAAAAAAAAAACTTCAAACAAAAATAAACTTTGGGCCAGGGATTTAGCTCAGTGGTGCCGCCTCCTGCCTCGCAAGTGCAAGGTCCCAAGTTCGATCCCCAGTACCAAAAAAAAAAAGTATTGGCAAAACATTTAAATTTTTATGCTAAGTGTGGTTACATAGTGAGTTTAAGGGCAGCCTGAACTACATAACAGGACCTTGTCCCCCCCCAAAAAATAGGGCCGGGGATTTAGCTCAGTGGTTTCGCCACCTGCTGCGCAAGCGCAAGGACCTAAGTTCGATCCCCAGTACCAAAAATAAAAATAAAAATAAAAATAAATAAAAAGATACAAAAATTATATTAAAGTGTTAGTTGTATAACTAGGTGGTTAGATAGGCCGGGAATTTAGTTCAGTGGTGCTGCCACCTGCCTCGCAAGCACAAGGTCCTGAGTTCAATCCCCGGTACCAAAAACAAAAAACAACTAGATGGTTAGGGATAGGGATGTAGCTCAGTGGTAAAGCATTTGTCTACTATGTATAAGGCCCTGGGTTCAATATTCACTACTGCCAAAAAAAGAAAAAAGGTCAGCTGTAATAGTGCATGACTGTAATCCCAGCAAACTGGAGGCTAAAATAGGAGGATTTCGGTGAGTTTGAGGCCAGCGTGGGCAACACAGTGAGACCTTGTCTCCAAAAAAAAAAAAAGAAATAGAACCAACAACAGCCAAAACAAAACAAAACAAAAAAAACAGGTGCTTACCACAAATTTTTTTCACTTCAGTTGTTTATTTTTTACAGTGATCCTGGTGATGGAACCCAGGAATCACTGAGCTACAATCTCACCCCTAATTTTTTTTTTTTTTTTGGTACTGGGGATAGAACTCAGGACCTTGTGCTTTCGAGGCAGGTGGTGGAACCACTGAGCTAAACCCCTGGCTAAACCTAATTTTTAAAAAAAATTTTGTGACTGGTCTTGCTAAGTCATCCAGGCTGACCTCAAATTTATGATCTTCCTGCCTTAGCCTCCCAAGTAGCTGGGATTCAAAGAATCCATCACACCTGGGCTCTGTGTTTGAAATTTTTACAAATAAAATGTTGGTCTGAGCCTTTTTACCAAGATGGCGCCGAAGGCAAAGAAGGAAGCTCACCTTCTGCTGTCCCAAGACACTGCGGCTCCAGCAGCAGCTGAAATACCCTCAGAAAAGCGCCCCCAGGAGAAACAAGCTTGACCACTATGCCATCATCAAGTTCCCCCTGACCACAGAGTCAGCCATGAAGACAGAGGACAACAACACACTCGTATTCATTGTGGATGTCAAGGCCAACAAGCACCAGATCAAACATCTATGACACTGATGTGGCCAAGGTCAATACCCTAATCAGGCCTGATGGACAGAAGAAGGCGCATGTTCGACTGGCTCCTGATTATGATGCTTTGGATGTTGCCAACAAAATTGGGATCATCTAAACTGAGTCCAGCTGGCTCATTCTAAATACACATTATTTTCACCATAAAAAAAAAAATGTTGGTCTGAGATTTAAATCCCTCATTAAGATGGGGACTTCATCTTGGAAAAATTCTAATATCCAATTTTGGAGAACCATGGGTTATAGAATTGACCATTCCGTCCTTTTTTTGTACAGGGTCCTGACCCCAGGGCCTTCACAATGAGCTACATTCCTAACCCCCCTCAACCTTTTTTTTGAGATAGAGTTTCACTGTGCAGTCCAGGCTGGCCTCAAACTCATAAAGATCTTCCTATGTCAGCCTCCCAGTGCTGGGATTACAGGTATGCACCACCACCCCTGGCCTCCAACCCTTTCTTAAACTACTGTGAGTGCCGGGTGTGGTAGCTCAGTGAGTAGTCCCTGCACTGGGGAGGCTGAGGCAGGAGGACTGCAGTGAGTTCAAGGCCAGCCTGAACTACACAGCATGACCCTGTCTCAAAAAAACAAAACAAAACAAAAAAACCCCTATTTATTTAAGAGAACATCTGAAAAAACAATTTAGAGACAGGGTTCTCACTAAATCACTAAATTGCCCAGGCTAGACTTGAACTCATGATTTTCCTGCCTCAGCCTCCCAAGTGCTGGTATTACAAGTGTGCACCACCATGCTCTGCTCATTTCTTAAATGTATACATTTTATCTAAATTGTATTTAAGAGTATTAACAAGTTTATATTTACATTGTGCTTGTGTCAGGCTCTGTACATCTACCCAACAACTTTGTTTAAATACTATTTCTTATCCGTATTTTGAGAAAATATGAAAGAAACTAGCTAAGCTTATCCAGCTGGTACTACAAGTGGTAGAGCAGTAACCTGGAGCGAGGCAGTCTGGCTCCCAGTTCTGTCCCCCCAACTACATCATTACAGTGGCTCTCAAAAGCCAAGTCACTAGCACATTAGGTCCACAAGGAGGAAGGCTGTATAGTTTGTTGAAGAGGGGAGAAAAGACAAAGTTGGGTGGCTCATGAGTAAGTAAACAGAGCATTTCTATCTTTATAGTCTTCTGGCCTAAAAAAATCACTTACTCGGAAAAGCCTTTCCACTTTAGCAGATACTCCACTTGCCCCTTCACCACACGCCTGTCTAACACTTTCTCCACAACATACTCCTCCTCATCCTCTGAAGAAGAACTGTCAGCTGTCCTCTTGGTTTTCTTTCCCATGTCGCACACCGTTCCACCTGAAGGACTAAGGCCACCGGATTCCTGCAAAGGGAAAGGACAAAATGGTTACAATCCAAGTCAGGATTAGACTGTCTTTTTGATGCGATGGAGGGGGGTGTGACACAAAGTTGCCAGATGCCCTTTTCCTGCCTCTTTAGTCCTTGTACAGACAATCCCCAAGAATTTAATTTTAAAAAATGAGTCAATCCTCACTTCCACAACTACAATTTTCTTTTCATTTAAAGAGATCAAAATTATTAGATGGCATAGTTGTTGAAATGCTCTATTTTCATATTCCAAAAGATAAGTGTTGTATGTGCCCTGGCTACTTTTGTGTTTGTAAACCAGAAACTCAGAGAGAAATGTGGTAAGCCTCTAGGAAAATTTACAAAGACAGAAGGAAAACCTTTCCCTCCTATGTGAACAAGGGTTTATAAAAATGAAAACAAAGCCAACAAAATGTAACTTTACTCTGAGCCTCTTGACTGGTCTCTTGGCAGGGCAAAAAAAAAAGGTCTCTAAGGGATCTTTCACCACGTTTTCAGTGACTCAGTACATTTCCCTCACACAAACTGAATCTGTCCACTTTAGAGCATCCATCAGCTCACAAAAGCAAAACTGACATCTCAAACACACTGAGTCTCCTTTTTAGCAAGCTCATTTGAGGATGGGAGGGAAGCAAGGGAGGAAAAAAAATTTTTAGTCCTGAAATTCAAAAATCAGTCACTGGATTATTCAGTAATTCCCAGGGCTCAACTAACCCAAATAGTTAAGGAGGTGCCTCTTCTCTTAACTGAAGCTGATTCTGAGCCAAAGGAAGAGGAGGAGGAAAAAAGTCTGGCTCCAGACTCAGCATCAACATGAAGCCTCCTCAAAGCACAGAGGAACCATTCATAGGCCCAAGAAAGCTGAAGCAAGGCTACACAAATGGAAATTGAGTTAAACTCAGAAATATGCACATCAGGGGGTGCAAAACAGAAAATTTAGTTTAGTTTTTTTAAAATTTCCACACTATTGTTCCCATAGTCATTTTTAAGAATGCGTCCTTCACCATGTTAAATGGTGCCTACAGTCTGAATTATAGAATACCAGGAACTGCTTTCTTAACTGAACTCCATTTTTATTTTGCTGTAATCTTTGAAGATGTTCTTCAACACTCTCTAAAATATTTTCATCTTGACCAGAAAAGTACTCGTAGGAGTAAAAGGGCCACTAATCTCAGAATTATGTTCAAGTATGCACAAAAAGTTGTATCTATCAATTCACTTCAAATCAGTACATTTTAAGAAATAATTACAAGAATATATTGTGAGAAACCTTATCTTCTGAACTTACCAGCAATAGCTATGGCCACCTAGAAAACTGCCTGTATCCATTATTGCCCCATAATAATGCTGTTTTCCTTAAAATACTTTATTTGGAAGGGGGAGGGTGTGGGACAATGTAGGTAGGGGGCTTTTAAAATAATCTTTCGATGAATTTATGAGACTGCTAAGCTTCAAGAAAACCTATCTGGATTTGTTTTATTTAAAATACTGCCTCCACCTCACCAGAGACAGGAAATGTCATATTCCAGAGAGAGTACCCGCCCCCACCCCCACTCACCTTGGAATTTCCGGGAGCTGAGCAGTTTAGGTCAGAGCGCTGGGGTTAAAACCAGCCCCATGTTAGATGCATGCAGTGAAGCATGGTGGCTACGGTCTCCCCTGCTTCACCAGGAAAAACAAAGATTTACATATGTGTTCTTCAGTTTGAGGGTAGGAAGAGGAAAATTTCCCTTTATACCTTCATGCAAAAGAAAGGCCCCAAAAGTAAATGAATTGGGGTTCCCTCTTTTACCTACCGGATCGCCCCAGTTCTTTCTTTCCCTCTGGGCTAACAGGAGGGGCCTCCCCTCCCAGGTCTGGGGCTTGGCGGGCTGGCAGCTCCCCCGCCCCCACCCAGCTGCCTGGGCGCCACTGCGCAGCTGTCCCACTCCGTTGCCATGGCAACTGGCAGCCGTACTAGAGGGGGAGAGGCGAATGGAAAAGTTAAAAGGCTTAACTTTCCTTTTCAGCGGAGACTGGGTGGCTAAGTTGGAAGGTACCTCCCTTGGCCTCAAAGCTAAGGCATTCAGATCTCCAGGGAATGGGTTCTTAGGTTTTAAATCAAAATTTATTCTAAAAGCACTGCAAATTAATCAATAGCATTTTAAGATCATCTAACAAGATTACAGCTCACTGGAAGGGGGAGGGGAAGACTAGGTCCTTCTACAGCAAGCTCCGTAGAGACCACCCCCCATCTAGCCCACTAGAAGCATTTTGGGCAGGGCCTTTTCTACCATCTGTCACTGTACAGTTAATTAAAATCGGTTGGGGGGAAATAACAAGAAAGGGGGAGGGGAAGTATTTTAAAGATACAATATAACTTTACCTACTTGGGAGGATTATTAGACACAGAACTAGAATCCAGAGACTTGAAACACTGACAAAAAATAAAGAAAAAGACATAAAACCCTTTCAACCGAAATTATAGGTGGGGAAAAAATTAATTCCTAAGTACAGTGGTTACAAAAAGGAAGAAAGGGCAGGCCAGCCACCATTATGACTGTTGAATTAAAGCTACTCATTAGCTGTTTTGGGGTTTTTGCAGTACCGGGGATCAAACTCAGGACCTTGCACTTGTGAGGCAGGGACAGCGCCAAAGAGCTAAATCCCTGGCTCATTAGTTGTTCTTGTAATGTTATAAAACTCATTTCTGGGATTTAGCTCAGTGGTTCTGCTGCCTTGCCTCACAAGCGCAGGGACCCAAGTTCGATCCCCGGTACAAAACAAAAACAAAAACAAACTGATTTCTTAGTAATTATTACCCATCTGATACGTTATTAATACAGAATTCACTTTATCAGTAATTCCTAATACTATACTTGAGGAAAGACTGGGATAAAGAAAAGAGACTAAATTCTATAAATTTTTCTTTCACCTGGCTCTAACACACACTTTACACAGCTCCAAAGCCCTACTCTGCTTTACAGTAGGGAACTTTCACTCTCTGGTGGTAGGGCCACAGGCTCACACACACTAAACATGTGCTCTCATTTCCAGCCCCAAAGGAATTTAGTCAGAAGCTGCTGCCCTAGGAAAGTAAGGAAAAGGGACAATCAAAAGCAAAGAATCCTACTTAAGGAAAACCAGAGAGTGGCCATTATTTTGGCTGTCAGAAGAAACAATAGGTTATAAGATCAAAGTAAACATTTTTTTTTTTGGTACCAGGGATTGAACTCGGGACCTTGCACTTACGAGGCAGGTGGTGGAACCACTGAGCTAAATAAATCCCCGGCCCCAAACTAAACATTTTTAATTGCAAGGGATTTCCTCAAATCTGAAAAGACTATCAAGAAACCTGAGTAAAAACTGCCTTTTCCAACTCTTAATTCTTAGCTTTTTTGTTCTCCTTACCACCTTTTCTTTTCTTTTTTGGAACTGGGGATCAAACTCAGGACCTTGTGCTTGCAAGGCAGGCAGTGGAACCACTGAGCTAAATAATCCCTGGCCCTTCTTACCTTTTCTTAACTCTATGTAATTAAGGAATAGGAAAACATAACCAAAGATATTAAAACAGAGCAGTGCTTGGTGGCACACACCTGTACTCCTAGCAAGGGGAGGCTGAGGCAGGAGGATTTCTTAAGAGTTCAAGAGCAGCAGCCTGGGCTACATAGTGACTTCAAGGACAGTCGGGGCCCTGTCTCAAAAAAAAAGTAAAAGGAAATTAAAAGAGTTCTGGTTCTGTGATTAACTTGCCATGTGTGGTCTTGAGTAAATAAATTCTAGATCTAACCCCAGCAACATTAATGCAAACCAAATAAATCCCACTCCCTACCTCCTAGGGAAAGAGTGAGTTTAAGAAGAAACCAAAGAGCGGGCCGGTGATTTAGCTCACTGGTTTTGCCGCCTGCTGCGCAAGCGCAAGGACCTGAGTTCGATCCCCAGTACCAAAAAAAAACACCCAAAAAAACCAAAGAGCTATTATGTCCCCCAAAGAGAATCTTTCATAGAACTATGTTAGGGCCAATACAACAGCAAGAAGAAATATGTGACCTTCCAGATTCCTAAACCAGTAAACCATGTCCATGCAGTACCTCCTGCAGCTTAACATGTTAGCAGATAAGAAAAAAAAGGAACAGTGACCTTTTTAAGGCTCTGGAAAACTAATAAACCTTCAAAAACCAGAGTAAGTTCTCTCAAAGGTAAAGTACTATACTCATTCAGAAAAGCACTGGAGATGCCAGAATTAAAGACCAATGATACCTGGTGTGGGGACGAGAGCCTGTAATCCCAGCACTCAGGAGGCTGAGAGCAGGAAGATTCCTTCAAGTTCGAGGCCAGCCTGGGCTATATAGTGAGTTCAAGGCCAGCCTGGACTGCATAGCGAGACTGTCTCAAAAGACCAAACCAAACAAAACACACACACACAGAAAAAAAACAAAAAGAGAAAGAAAAAGATTAATGCTAATTCTGTGAAGGGAATAAATGACAGGAAAAAAAAAATGACATCTGGAATCACATTTTTTTTTTTGGTACCGGGGATCGAACTTGGGACCTTTCACTTGCGTGGCAGGGGGCGAAACCACTGAGCTAAATCCCCGGTCCCTCTATAATAATATTTTGATAAAATGTTTAGAAAAAGAAAGGGGATTCAGGCTGGGGACAGAGCTCAACCATAGAGCCATTATAATACTTAGCATGTGTGAAAGTGAAGCCCTGTATTTGATTTCCCATACATGAAGGAAGGGAGGGAGGAAGGGAGGAGAAAAGAAAATTCAATCAGGAAAGGAACAAAATATTCTAGTGTTCACTCTTCCTTCTAAAATCAGAAAATAAGGGTTCAGATCACTCCATCCTTCTTATCCTTAAACTATATAAAGGGCACATGGGCTGAGGTCCCTCTCTCTTTGGGAAATGGGTTTTGTAACAGCCGACAAATCAAATTGGGCCTGATGCCAGGAGTCAGAGTCCAACCATAATATTCTTTAAAGAATGGCACGCAGTTGTCTTGTAAATCTC